AGTGACACAGCTTCATTCATTCGCCTACGAAAGTCCACACTGTGAGTGAAATTGTTATACTTTGTTGTACATACTGTGTTGTCAAAAAGTTTATAGCTTGTTAAGCAATTATATTCCTCATAAATCATGATAACAAGAAAAAACTGAGATGATATTAATCTAATAATCCAGTGTTACATTTATGCAATTTTGATCGAATAGGGCTTGCAGTTACTTGAGAATAGAATTATCCAAAATCTTCAACGTTGTCACTATTCTAAAAAATGTAATTCAAAATCCAGCATTCGAAGCAAGCCTTAGAGTGTTCATCCATGTACGTTCGTTCAATATGGGGCTTATAATTACTTTCTAATGAATATACTCAGAAAAACTTTAACCTCATTCGGAAAATGAAAGTCAGATCCTCCATTCGAAGCAAGCATGGTACTGTTCATCCTTAGATTATCAATCATCCAAGTTTGGTCAACAAAGGGCTTATAGTTATTTAAGAAAAAAAGGTCTGCTCCAAAAACTTTAACCTGTTCACAGATCTCGATATTGTGGGTCAGATCCAGCATCAGAAGCAAGCCTGGTACTGCTCATTCTTAAATGTATCATCCATGCAAGAATGGTCAACATTGGTCTTATAGTTACTTGGAAATGAGACCTGCTCAAAGAATATTCCCCTGTTCACTCATCCAAAAATGTAGGTCAGATTCAACATCCGAAGCAAGCCTGTTACTTTTCTTCCTTATATAGATGTATCATCCATTCAAGTTTGGTCAACATAGAGCTTATAGTTACTTGGAAATGAGAACTGCACCGAAAACTTTAACCTGCACCAAAAACGTTAACCTGCTCCAAAAACATTAACATGGTCATTCCTTTGCTGAAATTGCAGCATTTGAAACTTTGATTGATACAATGAAATACATTTGAAGCATCTTCCATGCAACTCTGATTAATATACAGCAGAGAAATATTTAAAAAGAAAACTCCTTCAAAACACTTTTACCTGGGACGCCGATGCCGACACCGAGGATATCACATAAGCTCCCCCCAACTGCGTTGAGGTGAGCTAAAATGTGTTTAATCCAACTATCCTCCAAAATGAAACTTAGGTCTGTCTTCACTGCTATTGTCAATTGTTGTCATAGGTTCAGTGCTACCAAGTCTTGACTTGAGGACGCAATCTCTGTGTACTGAGTGTTGATACTATCAGTCAATCTATAACAATTAGTGTTGGCAAATCGGACGATTTTTAGTAACCGGTTACTCGCTTCATCTTCCGATCGAGTATCCGGTTACTCGGATGTTTTTTGGTAAAAGTATCAATATCTATTATTTATCTTAATCTATACTTATCGGTAGTAGTAATGCACAAATAAACTGTATAGAGACGTTATATTTACAATACACACATACGATGTCATCAAAGATTTACGATATTAAAATAAAGAAATTTAATAGGGAATTCGAGACACAAAGACAAATAAATATGTCATCGTCAATCACCATTTTACACTTTCTTTTTCAGCTTCCGAAATATGTCTCAATCATGGAGAATAATTATTTACATACTCCATAGTTAATAGTTAATATGTGGAGTGTCCAGTAAATCGCTGGTTTCCAAATAATATAATTAAGCTTAGGTGATTTAACAGATTTTGAATCAGCTGTTCTTTTATTACAACTCCAAGCTTATTATGTCTACAGTGTCATCCCATTAACTTATCAAATGAGGTAATTAAAACCCAGGCCTTCAAAACATGTACCCCATACAATCAAAGCGATCAATTTTATAAACTGTGAAAACTAATCAAAACAATTCAATCCACTCCAACCATGCATCAAGTCTAACAGTACCTATAAAAATTAGGGAAATGTGTAAGTTAGTATATTTTTTTTTTATTTATAAAACATTCATTTTCTATGCCTTAACCATGTAGAATTCATTTTATCCGAGTAACCGAATAGCAGTTTTACTAACCGATACTCGCAACGTTCGACGGTTAACCGGTTAACCGGGTACTCGTTGCCAACACTAATAACAATCCATTTAGGTTTACCGATTCCGATTGTATTTTCTTAGTATTTTTAAATTCACTTTGTGTGTAAATCATAGTTATGAGCTCTTAAACCTATGACATAAATGCTATTTATCAAATCCTTGCCTCTGAAATTCATAAGACACAAATTAAAGCAACTGTCGAGGGTAATTTTTGCAAAGAAGATCAAATGTCAAGGTCTTGACTGCACGGGACGCTACTATTTTAAATGTTAGCTGGCAAATAGTGCACATGCTAAAATGTAATGACTTACCTACGTCATGTCTAAAATGTGCTGTACATGGGTACAATGAGCTGGGTTTTTTTAAGTAGGTCAAAGGTCAAGCTTAGGGCTCACAAGGTCAATAAACATGGTACATTTCTACAAAAGCCTAAATGCCAAGCAAAATACATATACCATATCCATACCTCTTACAGTTTCCAAGATACAGTTTGTGAAAGACGGACAAACAAACGTGCATAGCTAAACAGACGCCGGGTAAGTTGTGTCACTCCTAGTGTTACTCTGCCCTGCAGGCGGCACAATGATCAATTTTATGCTTCATTTGAAATGTTGGAACAAAATGTTCTTTTATTGTAAGATTCTGTTGCACGCCACTAATAGATTTGTTTACATTTTCAATAAAGCTACAAAGCATACGACACGTGCATGGTTTCCTTTGAGCACTCTATAGTTTACTAATGGTTTAAAATTTTGGGACTTTAAACACTAACTGATTTTGAAGAACTCGTCAACGTGGATAAAATCTAATTATGTCATGGAGTGTGGCAACGCACTTTGAAAAAAATACGCACTTTGAAAAATTTTTTCAAAGTGCGTTAAATTTTGGGACCAGGTTAACGCACTTTGAAAAAATAATTTTTTTTTCAAAGTGCGTTAATATCGACCATATTAACGCACTTTGAAAAAAAAATTCTGCATGGCTTAGTCAATATTCCTACAAATCTTAGGTATGATAAATTATCATTTGAACCTGATTTGATACTTTTTGTCCCCAGCTTGAAAAGAGGAGGTATTAATTTGGGTCTATCTGTCAGTCCGTCCGTCTACATGTAGCTGTCCGTCCATCCGTCTTTCTGTAACGCTTTCGTTTCCACACGATATCTCGCCAACCCTTTGGACATTTGCAATGAAATTTAACATTTATGTAACATAATCCCTGTGGCCTTAGGAAGACCCCCTTTGAATTTGGGGTCAAAAGGTCAACATTCAATGTCGTAAAGAACTACGAACGATAGTATTGTTCTTCCGCCTATCTCTTAGTCAATTCTCAAATGTTAACATATTGGAATGATTCTAAAAAAAATTATAGATATTTATATGAATTTTCATAAAACCTTACTTATTTGGGATACCAAAGAAATAACTCTATAATTTTGGCAAAACTTGTGTTTTTAAACACCTGGAGTTTAACAGAGAGATTATCAGATATGGTATCAAATTAACATCGAAAAGCTGACAGGTACTGTAGATTCCTTAATATAAGCGAGGAATTAATTTCTGCGTAATTTTGCGAGAAGTATCATTCGCGAAAAAAATATTACTCGCTTTTATTTTTCTGGTGCTTAAATCTATGTAAAATCTGTTAATTAACCGTTCATTCGCGAATTATAGTTCTAGCGATTTGACGTTTGAGAGCCAGTTCGCGATAAAAAACACTCGCGAAAAATAAGGAATTTACAGCTAGTAATTAATATTCTGATTTTCCTGAAAATGGACATAAATAGACTTTGAGATTTAAAAGAACAAAATTTCAATTTACTACAGACTTCCTTGTACAGTTCTTATACTGTATTTAGAATGCTCTTTTTTCAAATATCATTGACACTTAAGGTTAAGAGTTATAGAAATAGATATATCTGGGTGGGAATGATAAAGAGTTGAGCTGATAGACCTTAATTCAGCCAGTCTTTTCTTCGTTTTCCGTTTTTTGGTTTTCTTCAATCCATCAGTTTTTAGAAAAAAACACATCAAAGTAAGGGCACTGCAAAGCGGAGCATTCCTTCCCAAAAAAGATCCCAATACAAATTACGTCAATTCCTTACAGAAAAAAACTAACATACACATAAAGTAATAACACACATAATCGCATCACTATATCCCATCATACGTTGCAAGGGAATAATACTGTTGTCTATTTCTAAAATATAAGTCTAATTCCTTTTGTTTCATGAAAATTTTTTCAAAGTGCGTTAAATGTTTACATGGTGTAAAATTATGATGTACAGATTTAACGCACTTTGAAGTTTTCAAAGTGCGTTGATTTGGTCCCAAATTCAACGCACTTTGAAAAAATTTTTCAAAGTGCGTTAACCTGGTCCCAAAACTTAACGCACTTTGAAAAAATTTTTCAAAGTGCGTAATTTTTCAAAGTGCGTTGTAACAATGGAGTTTGTAAGAAATGGTTTATTCATGCATATGGTATATTATTTTTAGGTAATGAAGAGATGCAAATGACATTTTTTTAAGTTATATTGTGTACAAGTGTTCTCTCTTTTGTATCTCTAGGTACTAAGTTTGTTATGACATTCAAAATGTTAGAGGTACATTTTTTATACGCAACAATCTAGAAATCTTAGCCATGGAATAGGGTACACTCCACATCAAGTTACAGTGGCCGATAAAGAAAGGTCATTAAAATAACTTTATAGAACTATGCATTAACTTTATTATATAAGGCTATAATTTATTTATTAATGGGCTTTGGTCCCTTAAGGGCCTTAGCCCCATTACTTTTAAGAAATGAAGAGGTAGTCGCACATTAATCTGTAAAAAAAAATGGACCTACTTTAGTAGAATTTCTGATGTATTAAATACTAGTAGTTGTGTTTCAAGGCTGCACCTATTGCTTAAAAGAAGTCGTGCGTATTGCTTTACACCTATTGCTTTAAGACACATTACATTCTACCAATCTTCATTATCCAGTATATTTACTAGTATTATGAACTCACGTGTTCTAGACATTGCTTTGCTCTCCTCTGTGTACATCTCATGCAGAATTACATTTATCCCAAGTCGTTTTATCAACAGATCATATGGAATGTCTAAACAAACGTTTTTTGTAGCTCCGGAATGCTGGTAAACATTGACATACTCAGAAATCGAGTCCATCGATGACAGTTCGACATATCTCTTTAAATCCTCTTCCATTTTTAAACATTTCAGGATAAAATGACACATTACCTGATGACGCACATCTGATGAAACAAACTCAAAGGTTTTGCTGTCTGTATGTGATATTAACAGCTTATCAGTGTCAACCAGTTCTTGAATAAGCCGCGAATAATTGTCCCTTGTTAATACATGGGAATCACCAAAGTCAGGGAATCTTTCTTGGAATTTTCTAATTCTCTCTTCCCATGTTGTGCTTATACTGATGCTATACTTGTCTGACATCAAGACGGTAAACAGTATGCTCCATTTTTGGGATGTAAGTAAATCGTCAATCACTGTAGTAAAAATGGGTACCGATACATGAAAAAAAAATCTAGAAGGATGGTCTCAACTTTGAGACGTAAATTAAAAAAAAAAATCAGAAATATTCTTCTTTTTTTTTTAACTTAACCGAATTACATTTAATTGAAAAAGTAACTCATTAACTTAACTCATGATTTCAGAAAATATTAAATGATTGAAGAAAACAAAGCACTAACCGTTGCATACTCCTGAGAGGTATGTGTATGCTGAATAAAAATTTGAAAAAGCCTCATCAGATACTCCATTCGCCCAGGCTAGAGAGTCCAAGTTACTCTTTCTGCACTGGTCTTGGATAAAATCCACGAACTGTTTCATTTCGGACAAACTTATAAAATAGTGGTACTTCCTATCTGTAAAAGTGAAAACAGCAAGTCTTTAAAAAAGTTTACAATTAATCAATGTTCTGTTAACAGGCTTGTGGATTAAGCTTTAACCAGATGTATTTAAAATATATTTTCAAGTCTTGTCAGTTCATTTAAAATTATCAGTCTAATAAGCTGTAGTTTGTTTTTTGGTAAATAAGTAAAAAAAAACTGTGTACCATGTAAAAGCTCCAGCTGCTCTGACTGATCTTGCATAATCATTCTCATATATGGTATACGACTGTTGTCTGTCAGTTGTCGTGACTGACTAGTATAGTTAAGATACACATCCGCATACGCTGCAAGAGAGCAGGGAGAGGCAACCTGTGTAAAAAACTCTTTATCTATGTCATTCACGATACATTTCTTTCTGTAGGATCTTGTTACTTGCTGCAGTCGGTCACCTTTTAAATCCAAGAGTCCTTTCAATCGAAGTTCATTTAATGTCTTTGTTAAGTCAATATTTCCCACTGAGGCCTCAGAATCCAAATTATCAGCCAAAAAAAATTCATTTTCATCGTTACACAAAAACAAAGTGTATAGTACAACCAGCTGATCGTTTGTTAAATCGAATAATGGATCTGTGGAAAATATAAGACAAAATTATCTGCATTACAAATCAAAACTAAAACGAATTCACAGCAGAATTAGACTGTATCTTATTATTACTTTTTAGTAATTCCCAGAAAGCATGACTACGTATGTTAAGCCAACGTTGGCGCACAGTTGTTGACTGCGTTGGACCAATGTCGGCAACCTAACGTTGGCCCAGAGCAAATTTGCTCATCGGCCCTACGCTTGCCAAAATGTTGGGCCATAGTTAGCACAAGGTTTGTCCATTTAATTTTAGCATTTGATCAATGTTGGCCCAACAATGACCCAACGTCTACAGTTGTATTGATTGTATCAAGAAAGGCCCAACATTGGCCCAATGTACTGTCTGTCTTGGCCAAACAATGGCCCAACGTTATCCAACATACCATCGGTGGCTAAATGATGAGTCCTTTACTTGTGTTGGCCCATCTTTCTTTTACCGACGGCAATTTTTTCAACGTAGGCCCAACCTATCCTTTATAAATGTAAATAATGATTTCCATTTAAAATCAATCCATCTTGACAACAAATAATTAGCTAAAATTGACAAAGAGGGAAAGGAAAAATGCTCAACTGTACAATTTATTTGTAAGTCTCTAACAATTTTTTCTGCTTGTTTCAATATCTATACTTATAAATTAATAAATTTTGTAAATACACTCCGAAACGGGTGCACCAGAGTTCTTACTTACTCCTCTAATAATACGTACGCCCCGTGAGGATTCGGGTTAGGTCCTCAGTACCCCCTTGCTTGTGTATTTATGTATATAAAGGAATTGATGGGATCTAAATGCTCAAAGTTTTTTTTGTATTTTGATTTACTAATAATGTTGTATGAATGTTTGGGTCTTGAGGGGTTTTTCCGGGTTATAGTTTCCAAGCGCCCTTTATTGACGGCTATTAGCCTAACCCATATTCATAATTCCGCTTGGCTCTAAAAAACGTGGTTTGAACATTTTTCCCTCCTCCACCCCCTCAAACCTCCATGCACATTGTTATTATTGTTCAGATTACTGATTTTCTTGTGTTGAAGGTGTGGGATATTTTTTGCACTCCACCTTCTGCTGAATTCTAAAATTGTAAAATTTTTCATTTTATTTGGCATTTGTAATGTAATATATGCTCTATTCACAAACACTCGCTTTATCATTTTAATAGCTGCAGAACAGAGCTGCAAATGTGCTTCAGGTACATGTTCATGCAAACTGAATTGTTCATTATTGCCCGCATTTAAGAGCACATAAAAGGCGACTTCGGATGAGACCGTATAAACCGAGGCCCCGTGTCACAGCAGGTGTGGCACGATAAAAATCCCTCCCTGCTCAAGGGCCGTAGCTGCCGAGCATAGGCCTAAATTTGCAGCCCTTCACCGGCTATGGCTCCATATCAGTGAAATATTCTGGAGAGGGACGTTAAACAGTATACAATCAATCAATCCAATAATACACTATATACAAGGTGATGTCCGTAAACTATAATCAGATTTGACGCGAATAGTAGGTATCGTACATTAAATTAAAAGTTAAATTAAAAGTCTACTTTAATTTTTTATAAACAGCCATAAAATAGTATAGTAGCATGGCGGATCTAAGCTATACTGGCAAATTTTAATGAAACTGACAACAAGCAATCGTTTATTTATTTCATAAAATGTCATCACTAAATTATTCAATCAAAACATGATTTTAATGATATAAAAGAAATGTGATTACCAATTAAAAAGCGAAATGTGCAAATTATTTTCGTCGTTTACCAATCTCAATATTGACGGAAGCTTCTAGAACGCAGAAGGTCCTAGTTGAGCGTACGTTTTATCCTTCTACTTCTAGAACATCATTATAGCATCGAACCCGATGTTGAAAAGAAAAAACAAAGAAAAATTTATACTAGCTGCATAAACGTATAAAAACAACGTGAATGGTCTTTGAAATAAAGGTAAATCATTGATAACAGTATAAGTTGTGAATATATTTATATATCGAAAAACTATAATATATACATGTATGTAGTACATGTATGTTTTTCTTATCAATTTATCGGTCAAATAGTATTTTCCTCACTAAGAGCATCTTGACAACGAACCAACGTACAATTTGTACTTTGTAATTAATTTGCTTACAATAAAAGAGAAAACTAACGAATTGGTTATAGTTCAAATACAATCAAAGCTGTAAAGATTTGTGCTTTAATAAATATGTGGAGTTTTTTCTATTCCTAAATAGGGGAGGGGAGAAGCTAATTTTTACACAGGTACTTGGGTTTTGTTAATGAATATTATTATATAGTATATTATCATATACTTTATGTATACTCCCTATATAATTTATACAAGTGCAAACAGTTCAAAACACTGCTTATTACATTCTTACCAGTGAAATACTGTTACAGTAATTTATTCATTGAATAAAAATGAAATTAAATTAAATATGTATTTTTTTAAAATTTAAATGCAATGTGTTTATTTAACATCAGAAAAAAAAACTCAGGTGAACTCAGGTGACCTAATAAAATTACGGATACAAACGACGGACAACAAAATCACAGTAAATTAAAATTAATCATTTTCCTACAATAAAAATATTAAACAAAACTATTACCTTTGAATTTTTAAATTTGCTTTGGACTTGTTTTGCTTAATATAATTGAAGTAGAAAAATAATTGCTTTAAATTTGGTATTATTTATTCAGTGCAGAGCCGTTGTTTTCGTGACATCAGCGCATGGCGGTAGTGAGGAGTAGAGATTTTTCAAACGCGGAAAATGATGGTTGATTGCGTCTATATTTCGATACAATTGAAACTTTGGAAGCTATGGAATTTAAGGAAAATCATTTTCCCCGTTATTTCCTGATCATGACAAGGAGTACACGGCGGGTGTGACCGGTCGGCAGGGAATGCTCACTCCTCCATGGCACCTGATCCCTCTTCTGATGTTTCGGGGGTCCGTGTTTGCTCTGCTCTTTTTTTGTATTGTTTTATGGACTTTGAGATTGAATACTGTTCGTTATCTCCATATCCTTCTTTTGGGCACATTTCTGCATGCTAGACATTAGACACTTTCATTTTTCCTAAAAAAAATTCGGCTCCGAATCGGCGATGGGGTAAGAAGTCGTTGCATACCTAGTGTATTTGTATATAAAGGGGGTATAAATATCACTCCAATCAAGCATATAACGGCTTATTGATATAAATTCAGGGGCCTGTGCATTGACCAACGTTTGCTCAACGTAAACATGCTGTCTGGGCTGTTGCACATAATTATAAGAACATAAGAGAATAGTTCTTTATAACACCTGAAGTTTCTAGATTTTCATCTTGGCAATCAATGAAATACATTGTTTAGAATGTCTATTAACCTTCAACATCGAAAACACCACCACTTTCAGCTTCATTGTCCGATATCATCCTCATTCGTTTGAAATTTGATATACTGATAACAGGTTTTACACAAGTGTCATGACCGTAATGCTGTAAGAATTAAAATAATTATTATAATTAATAAAATAGAAAGTAAAAAACCAAAACTATGCGCTTTAATTAATATTTTCTCATATTTTTGTGATTATTCATTTACTATTAACAAAAAGGTTTTATACCGTTCACCATTTTATTGACACTTCAAAAAGACATAGACACTTAATTACAGATAAGAATGTTTTAGAAAACACTCACAAAAAAACACACACACACACACACACATACACATAGTATTAAAAAATACGTACTTTAATTATATATTCTCAAACAAATTTGCAGAAGCTCTATTTTCAGTCATCATCATGCCAGTGTAAATTACAAACTGGGACAGCTAAAAACTTTGCCTGGAAAATAGAAGAAAAATAAAAACAGAAACTGTCAAGTTACAACTCACAACTCTTTTAAAGACTTGTTTATTTACAATGCTTTTTGAGATATTGCCCTTGATCAAATCTTATGTTGATCCTTGTATGTGTGAGATTCAATCACGTTATCCTATTAATCCAGTACATAATGCTAAAACATTGGCGACAAGGATCACCAACAGCTCGACTCCACTGGATAGAATGGCTATTTGGTTCACTCTAAAATCTTTTTCTTTTGATATGATCAAACAAATTCCCTATGAATATAAGTCATATAATAGACCTGCACCCATAACTTTTACCTGGTCTAATTTCTGAAAAATGTATGTCGAATTTAGCATCCGGAGCAAGTCCATTAGTGTGCATCCTAAGATGTATCAACCATGCGACTTTGCACAACATAGGGCTAATAGTTAATGAAACCTGCTTAAAAATTTAACCTCTTCATTCATCCAGAAAAAAATGTAGGTCAGATTCAGCATCCGAAGCCAGCCTGGTAGAATGCAACCTTAGATGTATCATCCATGCAAATTTGGTCATTAAAGAGCTCATAGTTACTTGGAAATGAATCCTGCATCAAAAACTTTAACCTGTTCACTCATCCAGAAAATGTAGATCAGCCTCAGCATCCGAAGCAAGTCTGGTACCGGTAGTATGCATCCTAAGATGTATCATCCATGCAAGTTTTGTCAGCATAGGGCTTATAGTTACTTGGAAATGAGACCTACACCAAAACATTAACCTATTCACTCAACCAGAAAATGAAGGTCAGATTCAGCATCCGAAGCAAGCCTGGTAGTGTGCATCCTTAGATGTGTCATCCATGCAAGTTTGGTCAACATAGGGCTTATAGTCCTTGGAAATGAGACCTACACCAAAAACTGCACCAAAAATGTTAACCTGCTCCAAAAACATTATTCTGGTAATTCCTTTGCTGAAATTGCAGCATCTGAAACTTTGACTGGTACAATGAAACACACTAAAAGCATCTTCCATGCATGTCTAATCAATATAGGACATAGAAGTACTAAACAAAAGAAAACAGC